CTCTGGGTAAGTGGGGCACCCCCGGCCCCCCTGGGGCCGCCGGTTCCGCGGGCGGAGGAGGGGGCTGGGATGCGTCCCAGGATGGGGCAGAGCAAGGGGGGAACCCGGCTGCCCCATCAGGGGATGTGGGGGGGGCGGCCCCCCGAGTGCGAAGTGGGGTGCAGTTTTGTCCTCCTTTAGGTCAACTATCAGCTTATTGATAGCCCCCCAAGAATTTGCCCGCGGTGTAGCTGCCCAAGCCTTGGAATTATGCAGAGCACTCAAAGTAGCTGGTGAGCCACCAGGTTGCTCTTCATTAGCTCCGCTTAATTTACCATTTTCAATCAGATCTTTTCCAAAATAGTTCCTGAGCAGGCCGAACAACCTAAGGGAATCGGTGCCAGTGGGAAATGAGATGTGGAAAGTTAGCAGGGAGCCACAGTAGTTGATGGTAACTTCAGGAAACCTCACATGCGAGCCGAGGGTGAGCAGAGGTGTTTGCTGAAGGAGGGTCTGCCTGGGAGCTCCGCGGGGCCAGCACTGGGCTTCAGAGCTGCTTTGGCCCATTTGGAGGCACATGCACCAGAGCCCTGTCCTGTCCTCATCAGTGGCTAAATGAGTATTAAAAGCTGCTGGAGGGTAGTGTGGTTTTAAAAGTGTCTTTTGAATTCTGCTCCTGATGCAGGAAAACACAACAAACCCAAGCTGGGCAACTGGCTTTGTACTTGAGCATCTATTGACTGGTGTATCAATGGGCATGAATGTCAAAACCTAGCAGGCCAGACAGACGTTGTAGTATAGGATACATGTGCGTAGCCCTGCTGTTAGCATACAGAGATGATTCATGTAGTTTTGGACTCGGTTCTTCAGCCTGTATTTGGTAGGCAGGGCTTTATATGCAATGAAAATGAAATCCGTTGCGCTGGGCAGTGAACTGTCTCCAGAAGGAGACTTTATTTCCAATAGAGTCTTCTGTCAGATCAAAATGTATGCTGGGGCAATCAAAAATGAAGTGTCTCTATTTCTTTAAAAATACTGTGCAGTGCAAAGCACATCTATATGTTGGAAACGGTATGAGAGGGACTACGCATACTTAATATGGTGACCTAAGGTGTATTCAAAAGGTAGTGTCAAGTTGTGCAACACCTGACATACTTTTATTGTTTCACAGGCAAAGCAATAGTTCTGTAATTCGATCAAACTCCCCAACAACAACATCTCAGATTATGGCCAGAAAGAAAAGAAGAGGGGTATGTTGCCTTTAATTCTTTTCCCATGTGACAATTTGCATGTGCACTGTGATTTTGCCCTTCAACATTTTTTTATAAACTTTATGTGTTTTGTTTTTTTGGGAATAGATTATAGAAAAAAGGCGCCGTGATCGTATAAATAACAGTTTATCAGAGCTGAGGCGGCTTGTGCCAACTGCTTTTGAAAAACAAGTAAGCCTTTTTTTTTTTTTTAATTCTCTATCTCATCTGGCAATGTTAGTTCTCTTGTAAAACTCATTAAAATAATATTGTGTGTGTCCTGATCTGGCACAAAGCAGGCATTTCAATAAAATGCTTTCTTGTGGCGAAACTATTAGAAACATAATTCATTATAAAGCTGAAAAACATTTCCATTCTTTGGCTTGTTTTTCCCTTAAGGGTATCTGTGTTCATGTTGCCTCTGTTCTTTCGATGAATTCCAGTAGTGGTTTTGTTAAAAATGCGCTTCACTCCATATTTTTTTTAAAAAGACAAACCCAGTACAACTCCCCCAAACCTGTATGTCAACTAGCCTTCTGTCTACATCTTCAAAGATGATCTCCTTCACCCCTACTTTAAGAAACTTTTATTTTTTAATCTATAATTTCAGTTGCAAACTAATCAATCCAGTTTCCTGACAAGGGAACAGACAGTCTGGATTTTTCAAATTTTAAAATGAAACAGTGTATTAGGAAGGGGAACAGGCTCACATCATTTGAGCTAGTAAAGTCAGTGATATGTTCGAAGACTTTCAGTGAGAAAGTACTCAGTGGGAGGGCTGGAAGGATCCAGCTAAATTTGGTTCAGCTCCTTGGTCATGAAATTACAGACCAAAATCTTAAAATACAATCCGTCCTGTAAAAAAGGGCATATTGTTTATGCCATTCAAATTAAATTATTTATTTACTTTTCCATATCTTGATTTTTATTTTTTGGGTTTTGATTTAATATTTAGCCTTGTCCCTGTTTTGCTGGATGCATCTGAAGATCTATGGATATGTGCATTTGACAGTACATTTCAATAAAAAGAAACCAACTGAAAGCAAAGAACCTGACTTCCTTGTAATAGTAAAATAAAAAACAGAAAGTAAACTTTGAGAATACGATTGAGAGGTGCTGAATATCTGTGGTAACTGCGTGGCAAGCACTGCACCATATTAAGTGTGTTACATCTCTGGTCTGAACAAAAGCTGGCTAAAAAATTTTAAGCATTGTAATAATGGTGAGAGCATCACTTATGTCACCTGCAATACGCTTTTAATAACTGGTATTTGTAACTGTGCCCTTGTGTAGGTTCTGTCAAAACAGAGTGACAGAGGTATTTTCAGCTAGATAAACAGGGGCAAGAGACAACAGTTGTTTGTCCCATTTTATTGTTTACTTCTTGAAAACCACAAACATTATAAAACAAGTCCTATAGAGCCTTTGGAAATTACCCAGTGCCATGCAGTTTTTAGCTATTAGTCACTCTCACTGAAACGGCTTGTACTGTGTCTATGGAAAAGATTAAGTCTGAGGAAACTACAGGATACAGTCGCATGTAAAATGGGGAATTCTGCCCATAAATTCACACGTGTATCAACCTATGTACGAGGAAAGTACCAAAAGCAGTAAGTGGATTTAAAAAACAAATGTACCAGAGTAAAAATGAGCATGCACGGTATTTTTTTCAGAAAGCCCCACCGTTTTTCTGCAGTAAGCCGAGGACAAAGTCATCAGTCCTTCTCCAGCTCCTTGACATTCAGCTCACTGAGGTTTCTAAGTTGGAGTTTTAGTTTCGCTTCTGCCTGCCTCCCTTCTTCTTTCCCCAAATCACAGCTCTGATCTCCAGAGTCCCTTGCAAAGATTAGCACAGGCCACGTCGGGCTGTGGAGGAGGAGGGTGGCAGCCTTACCTAACTTGCATGCCTGCAACCTGGGCAAAGCTGGCTGAAGCCACAGGACAGCCGACAGGTGGCCCAGATGATAACTAGGAAAAAAATTTGGCTTGCAGGATGTGATCTGCTGGTAGCTGAAGCTTGTGTGGCCCTGGTTTTAGCTGATGCTAAGGGAAGATCTCCTGCACCCGAATAATATTTGTGTGGTAAACTCAGTCATCTGAGTGTGCCCCAGATATTGAAGGGAATGTTACCATGCAAAGTAGTTTTATTTCCAGATTATTATATCGATACTACCTTTTGAGTTGTATTTTATACTTTTCTAGCACCTATTGTATCTCTGTGAAACAGAAACAGAAAAAAATTTTGCAGGCAGAGGAGCTAACCTCTTTCTTTTTCACAGTATTTATCTTCACGTCCCTGCAAACTAGGCCTCTCACTAACTTAAAATACCATGGACCGTGTGGTTGTTTTTTCAGTCGAGAATGAGAATAGAATATTCAGCAGCCAAATGACATGCCGAAAATTAATAGGCAATTAAGAAAGAGGGATACTTCTGGGTGTGTGCCCACAGGGACACCTACTGGCAAAAGCAGAAAAAAAATGTTGAGTCAGGGTCTTCGTCAATCACTGTGCAGACCTGTCCTGCCAGTTCTCCATTTGTGTTTGTTGTTAAAAAGAAAGACCAGAAAGTTACCTATTTCTCTCATTTCATGAAGATGTCATCTCTACCCTGTCTTCAAGGTTAGAGCTATATAGCCTTGATAAAGCAAAATCATACCGCTACTTCTTGTAGCACTCGAGAGGAGACGGCATTAGTCTTTAGACAAAGTCTGGGAGGCAGATGCTCATGAAAGAATTAAGCCGAGAATGTCCTAATGATAGGGGAAATTGAAACCATAAGGCTGAGCTCAGTGGAAAGTATATCAAATTAAAGTTTCTAGTATTTGTAAGCCTTTATTTATTTGAGTCTCTTATCGCAAAGGGGTCTGCCAAATTAGAAAAAGCGGAAATACTGCAAATGACAGTGGATCATCTGAAGATGCTGCAGGCGACTGGAGGTAAAGGTAAGGAGCTGACAGTTTCTTTTCTAATATTTGGGGAAATCTCAGACAAAAAAAAAAAAAAGTGCTTTGAGGAGCTGTGATAGGCGTTTCCAGATTAAAGGAGTGGTAATCAATGCTAATGGCAGGATTGAACTCGTGGGAAAGAACTACGGGGACAAAAGAAGCACTTGACCCTGGGCTTGTGTTTGCTTTCATAACACTGTGGGAGTAAAGGCTTCATTCACAGGCAGCCCAGTCAGAGATTTGTTTGGGGTTTCCAAAGAGCACTGAAATCTGCACAGGGAGACAAAACAAATACACAAACACCAAACATAAACAGGAGGTTTGTGGCAACAATTGTGTAGCACAAAACTGATGCTAAACCTCATTATCCAGCAGCTATACCCAAGGAAGGGGATGAAGAGGAACTTTCATTACTGTTTATGTATTTTCTTTGTTCTGGAAAGACTTTTAAATGTCAGGTTAGACCATTGCATTCACCAGAACAAAACTCAGTCTTGCTGTGTGCAGCTCCAGGGATCTGGCAAAGCAGACAGCTAGCAGTGCTCTTTGTGCCCATATTTACGTGCTGTATTTGTGTGTCAGAGGTCTGGGTAGCTCCCTGTCCATGGGTGCTGGCATGACGCAGGGGCTGCGCTGGCTGACCCACTAGATCATCCGGCTGCTGGGAGTTGAGCACGCGTACCTCGCTTGTGCAAGCTGACAGCCCTGAGGCTGGAGGCCAAATGATTTCAGCCACCCACGAGGTATTCTGTATAGTCATGATTTTGGAACTTATTTGGAGTGAAAAACTTGCTGGCCTCCTGTTAAGCACGATCCCACATCCCGTGCCATCAACTGTGATTATGGTTCAAATTGGTGCAATTGAAACCAGACGATTTTTTTCATTGACCCATTCAGAGGGATTGGAATTAGATGATCTTTAAGGTCCCTTCCAACCCAAACCATTCTATGATTCTATGAAAGGAGGTGGCTGCTGCTTCTCTCTCTTCCTTTGTTGATTAAACTCAAAAGTTTTTGTCTCATGGCTAAGTTACTGCTCGTCTCTGTACCTTGCAGCAATTACAGAATTTAACTTCTAACCAGCTTATGCTTAGCAACAAATGGTTATAGGAAAGCGTGTCAAAGGCTGTTGTTTTATTTGTGAAAATCAACACGAAGTTGACATACATATTTTCTAGGTGTTGAGAGGCTTTTGCCAAGAGTCCATTTAAGTGTGAAATTTATGGGTAGTTTGTTCTACAAGAGGTGGAAGGGTTTTTCTTGTCCTTCAGGAAACAGGTACACCTCTTGATTCCTTGGAAAATGTGCAAAATTAAATCTTAAAAAAAAAGTTAATTTTTAGATATAAAAACATCCTTTAAAAAGCACTATTTAGTTGGTAAGCTACACTCCTGAAAGTTACAAAACGCTGGAATTGATTTTGCTTGTGCAATTTGAATTCAGATCCTCTGTGCATGTGCATGATGGTGCCGTCTTTAATTGCATGGTTGCATGCTGGCTTTCCACAAGCTTCTGTCTCACTTCGTGCATGGGGCGATAGACACTCAGCTGCCGAGGGAAGCGGTGGTTGTTTCGCTTCCTCCTCCCTGTGTGACGCGCAGCTGCATTATCCCAACCTGACCCTCACTTCGTGCTGCACATCATTCCTCTGAAAAGCTGCAGCATCTCCCACCCCTCCAATGTCTGCACCGACAGTGGGAGGGCCAGGAGGTGAACCCGATGGGAGGCCTATTTCAACAGGAACCCTCCTTACCCTGCCTCCCCCCCCTCCAAAAAAAAAACAGCATATGGGGGATTATTTTATAACTGGGTCAGGTCGGGTGGCCCAGCTACTGGGACAGGGGACAAAATGCCTGGGATGGGCACTGCTGGGTAGAGAGAGGTGTCAGCAGAGCCCAGGCCCCTGGCTGCAGCCAGGCAAGCCGGACTGTGTTAGCAGTCCCACATCCTGCGGTCTCTCCCTCCATCTGATGATGCTGCATTGCCTTTCCCTGTCCCAGCTGGCACCAGCATGCCTATGGCTGCCAGAGCGTGGTGTGGGGTAGGACGAAGTGTCAGGGGTGTGGGGAGAGGCGATAGGGCTCACACCCGCATGAGCCCACTGCTGCCGGGCAGACGACCGGGCAGACGACTGGAGCTGCCTTCACACCCCGTTTGCTGCTCGCCGTCCATAGCCAGTGGCACATCAGCGTGATGCCCAAGTGCTTCACAAAATACTACGACTTTATCTTCTCCTTCTGACCCAGAGATAAGAGTAATCTCACTGTGTGTATTAAGAAACTTTAAGAAAAAGAGGTTTATGAGTTAGTACTGGGCAAAGTTTAAGCCTGTGTTTCCTGCTTGCTTAATGTTTTACTTCGCAACCTAAGTAACCACTTTAAATATAATTTCTTATGGTGTTTTTAAGGCAGAAATTTGTTTTATTTGCAAGTGTAGTTATTCCCACTTTGTAACTTGTCTCCTGAGATAGAGACTATTTTGGATCAGCAAAAAAATGAGTTCCCTATTTTTTTTCCATAGACAAAAGCTATTATTGCAACAGGGAGGAATGGGTCCTGATACCCTTATGTTCTCCTGCGTTGAAGGCTGTGGAGAGCTCGTCCTCTCCCTCCTTGCACAGAGGACACCCATGATGGGGAATGCCTGGGGCTAGGAAAGCCGGGGTGGAGTTGGCTGCTGCTCAGTGTGCTGAGCCCGAGGTGGGCCTGGCGGAAGAAAAGCCGACGTGGCTCCTGTCCCTTCTCTGCTTTTTGGAGCTGCCCAGGCAGGCAGGCTGCCACCTCTGAGGTCCTGCGTGGACTCCGCATTTCCACCGCCCTGACACGGGTGCGGTCAATGGTCTCCTGTTCACATTGAGTTATTATTTTGGCCTGGGACCATGGCTTTTCGCTGACCATGCAAGCAAGCGCAAGGGAAGAGTAATTTGTCAACAGCAAGTCATTTGCTGGGACCTCAGCGTGGTTTTATTGTGGCTTCACGGCAAATTTAGCTTGAGTGACTGACGCCTGGGTCAGCAACATGGGTTAATATAGCTCAGATGACTTAGCCGGTATCCTGTGTGCAGAGCAGGTGGGTTACCAGGATAGCTGAAGTAAAATCAAGACTTACCATTCGCAACAAAATGCTGGCATGTACGTGTGTGGGTGGTGGTGGAGGATGTTCTTGGGTTTTGGAAAAAAGCAAGAAACAACATTTTTAAGTCTCTCTCAGAAGGGCGCAGCCAGCAAACGGGAAACCTGGAAAAGATAACCGTCAAAACCAAAACATAATGGAGCCTGAGAGTCCCAGCTCTCATCTCCCCTCTGTTTTCATGTCTCGGCCACCATAGGAGACTGAGAGGGAGCCCGGAACACCAGTGCTTTGGGACAGCTCATCACAGAGCCAGCAGCTCAGACTCAGGGGAAGCTGGTGACAACCACATCCCTCATGTCTCCTCTGGTCTGGAGGGAAGGAGGCCGGGAAGCCCTGGCTTGAGCAGCGGGCTCTCAGGACTCCCAGGCTGGCTGACATGTGGCCAGAGCCAGGAGGTGGCTTTGGCTGCGCATCAGCCCCTCTGAAGCTGCCGGAGGTCCTGGAGCCTCCGGCACGGAGGCCGTTCCCTGCCAGGCTGGCTGGCACTGAGGCAGGTACCCTGCTAGCTTGCCACCACTGGCCTGCCTGGCGTTTGTTTCTCGGGAATTCACCCAAACCACAGATCACTTGGTTGCAGAGGACCTGGCAGGAAAAAAGCTGTGAGGAGTCAGTGCTTGCTGAGACGAGTCCTTGACCCCTTGTGCCCACCGATCTGCTGGCCAAGCTGGAGCTTCTTGCACTGCCTCAAATGAACAAGGCAGCCTGTGTCAAAATCACTATCGGAATTTGGCAAAAAAGGGTATATAGCAGGCAGGGGATTTGGGGCAACCTCTATAAATGTGCCCAAGTTAATTCTATAATGCAGATGTGCAGCAAAAGAAAGGCTCTTTTCTTGCTTGAAAGCTGATAAAAGTGAAAACACCTATCTAAGGTGCTAGCATTTTTCAGAAAGACTGAGATTATTTCATGCCAAAGAGTGCAAGGCCTGATGCAGGTATTGCTGCCACATTCCATAATAAGTGCACTTGATCATTATATAGTAACACACATCATAGTCACACATACATAAAAATTTTCACTGAAAGCAAGAGGAAGAAACACCATGCCATCTTGGGAGTGGATAGGACAATATTCCCCCAAGGAGACTACAGTTAAACTAAAATAGGAAAATTCCAAATACTAGAATAGGTTTTTGTAGCTGATGAGCTGCAACTTAAGCACAGATCTGATGCTAGACCCTTTTAGAAAGGGAATATCTTTTCATGTGCATTTAATAAGACAATTCTTTTTTTTTTTCAAATGCTTTTTGTCCCAAGCCTGTGGAGCTCCAGTTGCTGTTTGTTGAAATACCTCATGGACCATATGACTGTCAGCCTTCCATCTCCAAATTAGCAATGGCATTACATAAAACGTTTTCTCAGTAAAGCTTTTTATTGTGTGTGTGCAGAGTCATGACAAGATGTTTCTAGTTTGTAGTTAAATAACACCGTATGTCATATTGTCTTAATGACTCTGTGAAGAAGATGGCACCCTGGCAGCAGTTGCAACAACTATCTCACAATGTCGAGAAGTAGTTTGAGAGCATTACTGGGAATTCAAAAAGGCAGGGTAGTACATGCAAGCTCTCTGATCTCCAGCTTGTTCCTTTGTGGGAATAAACATATCATTGACACACATGTGCAGGGTCAATACTGCACGGCAGCAGTTTGCTGAGGAATTTCAGGAGAGGCATCATATATCTTTTTATTATCACCAAGTAGTTATGGACTTAATTATTTTCATCTGTATATCATCTGTAAAAACAACTGCAGCCTATTCCATTACAGGGATGGTCACACAAATCATTTACAGATCAGAGAACAAACTTTTTGCATTGCAAATCTTAACCTGTAGAAGGGAAATCTAGTGGACTAGGTTAGCCGTGTCACCTAATGCTGGCTGGGAAGCCAGCTCGACACTCAACACATCTTTTTGCCCTCCCCTTCCAGGTTATTTTGATGCTCATTCTCTGGCCATGGATTTCATGAGCATTGGTTTCCGGGAGTGCTTGACAGAAGTCGCGAGGTACCTGACGTCGGTGGAAGGCCTTGACACGTCCGACCCCCTGCGCGTTAGACTCGTGTCTCACCTGAGCACCTGTGCCTCTCAGAGGGAAGCCGCTGCCATGACCTCCTCCATGGCCCACCACCACCACCCCTTGCACCCTCACCACTGGGCAGCTGCCTTTCATCACCTCCCGGCCGCTTTGCTGCAGCCAAACGGACTCCATGGCTCCGATGCTGCCCCGTGCAGACTCTCCTCGGATGTGCCCCCCCACGGCTCTGCCCTGCTCACAGCCACCTTCGCCCACGCCGACGCTGCGCTCCGAGTCCCCTCCGCTGGCAGCGTTGCTCCCTGTGTCCCTCCTCTCTCTACCTCCCTCTTGTCCCTCTCTGCTACTGTTCATGCTGCAGCAGCA